CGACTACTACTACAACAGCAGCAACGACAAGAAGTACTACTACTACTACTACTACTACTACTACTACTACTACTACTACTACTACTACTACTACTACTACTACTAGTACTACTACCACCACTACCACTACTACTACTACTACTACTACTACTACTACTACTACCACTACTACGACTACTACTACTACCACCACCACCACCACCTCTACTACTACTACTACTATTACTACTACTACTACTACTACTACTGCTGCTGCTACTACTACTACTACTACTGCTACTACTACTACTACTACTACTACTACTGCCAGTAACCCAGTCCTATCCCCACTTAGTGAACCTCTTGTTCTCTCAGACAGTACTTGACAAGGTTTCAACTCTCAGTGCCCTTTGCACACCTAAGCCACGCCGAGCAACCACTAAGCGGCTACATGATAAACCTCACAAACCCCAGGACCCCCACAGCCCTATAGTAAGCATAAGCAACCTACTCACCCTGCAACAGTCGAAGCAACCTCTGACGGCCCCTACCAAAGCTCCTAAAACAAACCCTCCCTAAACCCTAAAACCTAAACCCTAAACCCTCCAAAAGCCCTAAACCCTAAACCCAAACCCTAAACTCTAGACCCTACACCCTAAACCCTAAACCCTGTTAAAATCGTGCAGGTCTCGCCTGCCGGAAGAGGGCGAACTCCGCACGTTGGAGCTCTGCCCCTTGGGACTCTTCCGGGCCTTCAATGTTTCCTCTAAGGGTTTAGGGTTTAGGGTTTAGGGGGTTTAGGGTTTAGGGTTTAGGGTTTAGGGGGTTTAGGGTTGAGGGTTTCCCGGCTGCTTGCAAGAGTCCTGGATGCAAAGGGTTGAGGGTTTAGGGTTGAGTATTATTTTGGTAGGGCTCCTTTTATGGGTCGCCTAACTGAGGGTCAATGACTTAACAACGTGGGAAACGGACTAGTCTGCGGTACTGCAAGTATGAGAACGAGTAGTGAAATAATAGTATTGCGAATGATCTCGGAACCCTAAACCCCACGCCCCTTCCATGTTACCCAGAGACTCCAATATCCCTTAATTAAGGAATATTCCTTAAATTATAGTAGGATCCTTCATATGATTTAAGGTATATTCCTTAATCAAGGGATATTGGAGTCTCTGGGTACCAGTATCAGTAGGGGTTCAAGGGGGAATCTTGCAGCGTTTTGTCAGGGTTTCGGGTTGTTTCTCGAGGACTTCGGATGCCTTCCAAGGTTCCCAGGGTATTGGTGCTTTAAGGTTTTGGGTTTTAAGGTGTAGCGTTTAGGGTTTTAGGGTTTTGGGGTTTAGGGTTTTACGGTTTTGGGGTTCAGGGTTTTATGGGGTTTAGGGTTTTGGGGTTTGGGGGTTCAGGGTTCAGGGTTTAGGATGCAGCAGTTGCGCTCTCTCAGGGCCTTCAACATAGCCAGGCGCGACATGCAAGCCTGATGTAAAAAGGGTTTATGGCCATTTTTGCGGATCTATAGTTCCTTCGTATCGGGTTAGGGTCGCGACAGCGATTGTTTGTTGTTTCAAGGGTTGTTTCTTGAGGATCTGGCTTTGTTTTTCTTAGTGTGGCTTAGGGTTCACTATAAGGGCTAGACTGCAGGCGCGTTCAAGGATTTGTGGTTAGGGGCTCAGGTTCAGGGATCAGGGCTTTGGGCTCAAAGGGTGCCCGAGGACTAAGAGGATAACGGCCTCGAGAGCACATGGTACCGTGGTATGTGGGGGTTCGAACATCGTGAACCCTATTGAAAAGTTGTCTGGTGCCTGCAACATGCCTATTCAGGGCATCGCATCTACTGACTTTTTGACCTTTTGGTTCTGTTTTGAACGAAAAAGGATTGAGTCCAGCTGTTTCTCTGTGGAGTCGTGGAGTTATCGTCCAGCTTACCAGACTTCTGGGATCAGAACGATTTGTGTTCCATACGGGTTGAGGTGGCTTCTGCTTACGGGTTGATGTTCAGAGTGCAGTGTTTAGGGTCTCATTTTGCCGCGCGATAACCCTAAGCCCTAAAGCGGTCGGAGACGAAGAAGGGGCAGCTTTTGCGGGTTCAATAGCAGGGCATCAATCTTCAGTGAGTTTCAGCAAGAGCAGGATGGAAAGCACGACGTGCTGCAAGAAAGAGAAGGAGAAAGGCAAGGTAATTGGAGTTTCACGGAGAGCTCACTGACGCTAAGCCCGAAATCCTAAACCCTGCTGGCACGGTTGTTGTGCAGACCCGGAACCACAATGAAAGCCCAGGCAAACATTGTCCCTAGAGACGAGCATCACTTCATTCAGGCGGTTTGGTGTTTAGGGCCTAGAATATCTCACTTATTCCAGAAGTGCCCCTTCTACAAGGTATGATCCTTTATTGCCTGTGGAACCGTGTAGTCTTTGAGTATACCACATGGCCTGCACGTCAGCCAAGGCGATCAGATCCGGAAGTGCCTTGAGATCATCCAGAACGAGGCCGAATGCCCTAAGACTTGAAACCCGAGACAAAGCGTTTCCAGCGGAATCCGGGCCCAAGACCGAAGCCCAACAAGGGGAAGTCTGCTATATTATTTGGGTTTGGGTCTAGATTTAAACTTGGATTCTTGAGGGTTCAGGTTGGGGTTATATACGGTTTAAGTCAGTGTATCGAGAGGTGGAGCAGCTTCGCCAGCGCTGGTGGGGCGTTTTGGCTCGAATTGCTGGGCCTCTACCTGGTGGCTTAGGTTTTAGGAGTTTGGGATTTAGGGGGACCCTAAACCCTAAACCTTTCAGGAGTTCAGGATTTAGGGTTCAGGCTAAACCCTAAACCGTAAACCCTCCAGGTTTTAGGAGTTTAGGATCTAGGGTTCAGGTTTAGGGTTTAGGTTTAGCTCTTCGGATGTAGAACCCGACCTTAAGGATCTAGGATGATGTAGGGTGCTTGCCCTGGGCTTTGGCTTCAGAGTTTCTGACTCGAGCCCGAAGGAGCGCCTACATAGACGACTCTTGCATCCTAATAACCCTTTGTACCATTTATGTGTATGCGTACAAGCTTTTTCGGGCTCCTAGTTTATACCCCAAACCCTAAACCCGGCATCGGCTTTGTTTTCTGCGTCAGGTGTGGCCAGGCTTGACGTATTCTTTGAGTGGTCAAGCCGGGTACACATGAACACGCTCGCTGAAATCGGGGTTAGGGTTTAGGGGTTTGGTGTTGTGCTTCCAATTGCGGGGTTCTGCAGAATCTATGCTGAATCTTGTAAGGCATATCCGATGCTTGATGACTTCAGCACAAGGATCCAAGTTCGACACTCGTACACCTGGTGCAACCCTTCGCAAGCCTATCTGACTGACATTGGAAAGCAACCCTACACCTGAATCCCAAAGCCATGCACACCCAGAGTATGGCCCGTGGGCAAGGATGACACGCACAAATCGAGAAGTGTACGAAGCAGTACGGAAAAAAACCCTAAACCCAAAGCCCTAAGCCCTAAACCCCAGAGGCCATGCCCGATACCTTCGTCCTTAACTAAGTCCAAGCTGAAGCTTCGCAAGCTAGAAAAACCCTAAACCCTAAACCCTAAACCCTAAGCCCTAAACCCTAAACCCTAAACCCTAAACCCTAAACCCTAAACCCCTAAACCCTAAACCCTAAACCCTAAACTGGAAGGGAGACCCCGGCTTGCTTTGTCTGAAACCCGAGGGTTTAGGGTTTAGAGGCGACGGATTCCAGGCGAAGGACCGAAGCCTGTTGCAAAAAAAGGGGCCAACCCCGAAACCCAAAAGGGTTTAGGGTTTAGGGTTTAGGGTTTAGGGTTTAGGGTTTAGGGTTTAGGGTTTAGGGTTTAGGGTTTAGGGTTTAGGGCTTGGGTGTTTAGGGTTTAGGGTTTAGGGTTTAGGGTTTAGGGTTTAGGCCCTAAGCCCTGTGGAAGCCGAAAGCCGAGGTCAGTGGGGAGCTGTTCGGCTCAAACGCTTTGTCGAGCTCCTGGAGAGCGTCCCTCGGCAGCAAAGCGGTTTAGGGTTTAGGGTTTAGGGTTTAGGGCTTGGGTGCTGGACTTTGGGGCTCCGAGACGGTATATTGTGGGCTTCCTTAGAGATTTTTTGGGGGTTGTTACAGAGGGCTTGCAAAGGGTTTATAGAGGATTCAGGGTTTAGGATAAGTTTTGCCTCGTAGTTTAGAGTAGGTTTTGCAGTGGACTTTAGGGGTTTATGGTGGAAGGGGGGCGTAAGTTCTTTTAGCTCTGAAACTGTTTATGACTGTTTATGTATAGTGAAGAGGCTTGCGTCTAGAGCCCCTAGCGAGTGCAGCCCCTAGAGAGCAGAAAAACTGCACAATGATTCCTTTAGTGACTTTAGGGCCATAAGTTTTATTCCCCGGCTCCATATTTGGATCGTTATCCCCTGCTCCATTGAAACGGTTAAAGCGTGCAAATCAGATCCCTAAGTCCTACGCCCTAAGCCCGAAGCCTTCTTTACAAAGAAACCTTGAGAATGGGGTTTAGGGTTTAGGGTTTAGGGGTTTAGGGTTTAGGGTTTAGGGTTTAGGGTTTGGGACCCTCATGCACCCTGAAACCCTAAACCCCCAGAGCCCTAAGAGTAGGACCCAAGCTCTCTCACAAGCTCCTAAGGTTCCAAAGCCCCAAACTCAAGATCGCTAGGTTTGCCCTGCTGAGAGGATCTTAAGCGAAACTCAGTCAGGTCCCAACGACTTGGTAGCATTATTAGGGGTACCCCTTGAAGGGTACCCCTTCTGAACCCTACTTTCGGCTCTCTTAAAAGGGACCTTATTGAGAGGGTCTATATCCCCAAGGGTCCCCCTAGTCCTAGCTCCCAAACGACTTGGTAGCAGAGTAGGTGCGCGATCTGTAGGTTAACTCTTCTCGGGTCAGGGAACTCATCTGGCCTACAGCAGAATCCGAAACTTCAACCTCCATATTCCAACTCCTCCCCAAGTCTTGTATCAAAAAAAATGGGTTCTTGTTTCGGGTTCAGAGGCCCTGAACCCTATACCCTAAAGTTCAGGGGCGTTTTAGGGTTGAGGAACCCTCAACCCACAGCTCCAACCTCTCCTCCCAGACCTTTTACAACGCCCGAAGCTCCTGAATACGAAACCCTAACTCCAGTTAGGGTTTTGGGTAAAGGGCATAGTGGCATAGTTGCGGGTTAAACCCATGATGCTAGGCATCGGCATCTTCATCCCCTTTCTTTGGGCGAAACCCTTTGCTGCAACAGTCTTTTGTGAAATAAGGAGGCCCGTGGTAAGGGTTTAGGTGGTTGTTTCGGCGGAAGGGTTTCACCTGACTCAACCTGTAACCTACGCTAGTCCCTTGTGGCGACTGTTGCTGATAGAGAGGGGGGGGTGTTTACCTGCCAACCTAGTATTCCCTGCACCTCCTCATTTTAAGTGTACTATCTTTTTACATGACAATCCCATTGTAACTACTACGCCGGTATATAGTAGCCTTTATAGACCCCTGCAAAGAACCTTGCAGGAACCCTAGCTCCTCATTATTAAGCCCCTACATAGGTAGTTCTGTATATTAGGGTCCCTTTTTAGGTCCCCAAAGTAGTACGGCACCCTTATAAAAAGGACCCTAGAAAGGGACCCTAATTTAGAGAATTACCCAAATCCTACGTATTAAGCCCCTACTTTCCTTGCCACCGCTCTTCGAGCGAAGGAAAAAGAGCGGAAGCTCGCCAACTTCCAGGAGGCCAAGCGTTGGGGTTTAGGGTGTGGGGTCTAAGATAGGGGCCTTAATAATTAGAATAGGGCTTGGTGGTATATTATACTATTAACACTATATGGGAGCTAGGAGTTGGGGTACTTGTTGTGTGTCGTTCAACTCTCGTCGTTGCAAGAGCGGCGATCTTTCCGTACTTCCATTGTGCTTTTCTTTGTTTGTGTGTGGCCAGTGCTTGGGAAGGTTCGCTTGCCTATCCTCGTGCAACGAGTACGGGAACATGGTACTCAGGTTTGAATTGGGCAAAATTTGAACCCTGTAGATCGTAACCGATACACCACTAGCATCGAGCCCGTAGGCAAGCACGGAGTGATCCTTCGAACGGGCTGAATTCCCCAAAGTGAACGATCAAATCCGTTGGTTGTTTTAGCAGGGATTGCAGGACCCCACCTAGACCCTTAACCCTAAACCCTAAACCTTAAACCCTAAACCTTAAACCCTAAACGCTAAGCCCCAACTCAGCATTGCAGGAACCCCCAATCCTACCCCTCCCCAGTGCGTCGCGGATAAGGTGCCGGAAGTTTTGGGTTTCGGGTTCAGGGTTTAGGGTTTAGGGTTTTGGGTATATGGTTTTTGTTTAGGGTTTAGGGTTTTAGGGTTTGGGGTTCAGGGTTTAGGGTTTGGGGTTCAGGGTTTAGGGTTTTAGGGTTTGGGGTTCAGGGTTTAGGGTTTGGTTGAGCCTTTTGTTGCCTTGGGCAGCAGGGTAGACGGTCTAGCGTTTAAGGTTCAGGGTTTAGGGCAGAGTCTGGTTTCAAACAGGGGCTTAGGGTAACCTTACCAGTTACTACTATCCTCAACCCTAAACCCTAAACCCTAAACCCTAAACCCTACACCCTAACCATCCACACCTGCATGCTAGATACTTTGGGGCCCTGAAGGTCAGATTTACCTCAAGCTTAAAGCCCTAAGCCCCAAACCTTGAACCCTAAACCCTCAACCCTGAAGAGGGAAGAGGGTTTGGGGTTTAGGGTTTGGGGTTTAGGGTTGTTTAAATTTTGGGGTCGGCCATCCCTTCCCTAAGCCCTAAACCCTAAACCCTAAACCCTGAAGGCCCAGGAAGTTGAACAGTGGCTCCGGCAGCTTTTGCGTTGCTTGGCTTCAGGGCTTTCGGGCTTTAGCTGTTTGCGGAGGTTTTGAGGGTTTCGGAGTCTCGGGCTTTGAATAAAAATTTAGAGGTAAGTGTTTAGGGTTTAGGGTTTAAACTTGGAGTTTAGGGTTTTAGGGTTTTTTGTTTAAATTTGGAGTTTAGGGTTTTTAGGGTTTAGGGTTTAAATTTGGAGTTTAGGGTTTTAGGGTTTAGGTTGAGGGTAGGGGTCTGGGGCAGGGTGTCGGGTTTGCCGGCTCGTTGGCGGCTGGCTCGGCGAAGCCCCGAAGCCGCAGACCATGGCACCACCATATCCGGTACCGAAACCTATAAGCTCTGCGCCTCCCAGAGAGGCCTTTGGTGTGCCCCACAACCCCCTTCGCAGTTTTATAGCCCACCCTAAACCCTAAACCCTGCACCCTATGGATCCTGGCCTGGCATGTCCGAGTTGTGAGAGTGTAAACCCTAAACCCTAAACCCTAAACCCCATACACATGACATGCGCTAATTGCCCAGCACTTCGCCTCCTTGGTCCGTGTATGGTTGAACTTATGATGTACCGCACAGCCCTATTTTATGTGTGAAACGAACCTTTGAGAAACGAAGCTTCTTATGTACCCACAAAACGAACCCTACTCTAGCCACTGTGCCCCCTTTATTAGGTTGTTCACCATCAAACTCGGATGCCGGAACCTCACCACTCTGCAAGAATGTAGGATTTAGTCTTGCGGTTCAGGGCCCTGCTTAGAAGAACTTAATCATTGGATCCTTAGCGACCATACATATTAAGGGGAGAGGTTCATTGATCAGGGGTCTTCGTTACCTTAAGGACCAAGCGGCCTTTGAACACGGAGAACGAGCACCATGATACTATGAATTCCTACATGGCAGTGGAAACTTCATGCCTTTGAGGGTACGTTTGGTCCTCAAGGGTACCTTCCTGCTTTTTGCCGGACAGTTGCCAGCCCTAAACCTCGTTCCATGCCTCCAACTTATCTTGGATGTTACCCTGGTCGCTGCAGCCCCGAGGTGTGACAACACGCCGTTGTTTGTTGGGGTTTTCAGTCGCTGTGTAAATGGTTTGCTTCCTTCTGACTTTGGCCTTAGGGTATCGGGCTTCAAGCGTTCACTGTAGACACTACTGTTTACGTTAAAAAGCAGGCATGACCTTAAGGACCCTAAACTATGGGAACCATGGTATATTCCTTCTTGTGGGCAATGCAGGGTTTATATCATCAACCGCATTACACCCAGAGACTCCAATATCCCTTAATTAAGGAATGGTCCTTAAGTTATAGTAGGATCCTTCATCTGATTTAAGGTATATTCCTTCATTAAGGGATATTGGAGTCTCTGGGTACCTACATGGGCAGTTCTCCAAATAAGGGTCCTTTTTTTTCCCCCATAACAGTACAAATGGAGCGGAACCCTAAACCCTAAACCCTAAACCCTAAACCCTAAACCCTAAACCCTAAACCCTAAACCCTAAACCCTAACCTAGGATCCTGAAGGTTCGCTGCGCCCTCAATGCGTATCCCAGGCAAGATGCGAGCCTCGCAGCTTCCACAGACGAAGGAAGAGATCCGCTCCATGGCGTTGAAGGTGCGTTCATTGCCCGTCTTGTGGGTTTAGGGTTCAGGGTTTAGGGCTATCAGTCCGGTCGGGATCTGACAAGGCCGTTGCAAAAAGGGTTTAGGGTTTAGGGTGATTTAACCTAATTGCCAATTTGGGCAACTTTACCATTTCCCTTGTGGTTTCTAAAGAGGTACCTTGTCATAATACTTTTCTGGGCCCCCAAACTACAACCCAGTAACGCAATTTAGGGCTTAGGCAGGATGCGGAGTTCACCTTCTTTAGGGTTTTGGGTTTAGGGTATCTATCCTTCAAAACAACACGATCGATGTCTTTCGCTTTGCACCCTGTACTAGCCCGAAATGAAATCCTGGGCTAGACCCCTGAAGCCCAGGAACCCAAAACTCCTAGACCCTACACCTCAAATCGTTTTTGTGGAATATACGGGCCTACATAATTACCTACACCATTTTGCGTGGTTCTTTGATCTCACTACAGTATAATATACCCCAGGCCACAACATTATCCTAAGATCCGCAAACATGCGCAAACTTGAATACGAAATCTTTTGACCAACTTGGAAGCGGAAATTCGGATCAACCTGATCAACAGACACCCCTGCCTTTCAGGGTTTCAGGGGTCTAGCTTTGGGGTTCAGGGTAATTATGAGGTTAAGCCAAGGGTCTTCATCAACATGTTGCTATTTACCATTTACAAGGAGCTGAGATCACAACAGAGTTGTTATCGCTGCCCAGCAAAAGAAAGACTCGAAGCATTGTGAAGCTTTACCAACTGTTCAAGTATCTTTATCGTTCTTCTGTTTCCACCACCCTCCCTTGCACCTGCACAGATCAAAATACCTCCAACCCTAAATCCGCAGGTCTTTGGGGACTACGAAGTGGATCCCAACACGGAGCTAGCACTGGACAACCGTGGCCCAGCAGCACAAAAAGCTACCTTGGGCTTTCGGCCCAAACTTCCTTGTCAGTTAGTTATGAAAGAGAGTCATAGTCTTAAGTACCCCCCCAACTCTAAGGGATTCCAGGGTCCCTTAAGGGTATATATATATATATATAGGGTATATAGTAGGTATATTAGGGTCCCAGGGTAAAGGGCCCGTACTAGGGGCCCATGGGTTCTGCCTTAGACCAACGGAGGTGTCATGAATACCTGTGTTGGGGCGAAAGGTAATCAGATATGATCAGTTGCTACTACTGTCGAAGGATCATAGCCGACGCCTTCGTTGATGTGAGCACAAGGTGCTGTGCCTAAGGCTCCGGGATAGAACGTGTTCCATTCCACGATGGGACTCCAGGGGTTCAGAGACCGGTCCTGAGTCAATGCTATAATTCCTTATGAAAGGAACCCTTAAGCCAACATCGCATCCCCCAAATCACAGGCTATGTGGAGCCTTGCCTGCCTTGTGCGAGAGTGAGAGTCGAGAATCACAGGCTCGAAGTATCTGGAGCGCCTTGGGGGACGTGACGGCGCGCGGCCGGGTGAGGCGCTCACGCTTCACTGCCCGCGAAGAGAGCCTCGCGCCGCACCTCACTTTCGGGCTTATAGGTGGTTAGGGTGAGGGTTATTGGCATGAGGGTTTCAGGCGTTTAAATTAGGGTTTGAGGCTTACATGGAAAGAGCACAGGCTTCTGAGAAGGTTTGTGGGGCCTCCCGTTTTTGAAGACGTGTAGAAACTTTACCAAAGTTTGGGGTATATTGCGCCCCAAGTTTCTGGGGGGGCAGGGAGATTCTGTCAGTAAATATGTAGGGCAGAAAGCTCAAAAGTAATTCACACACACGATGTGGCTAACATTATTTTTGTCATCACATGCGCGGGCCGAGATCAGGAAGCTATGTCTGCGGATTGCTGTTGGGAATACGGACAGGGTTCAAGTCCAGGCCAACTGTAAATTACCCGAAATCCTTACCTAAATTCCAAAACCCAAGTCTAGGACATTTTCAGGTGGGTAGTTACCGTGACAGGAGCCTTGTAGAAGGTCTATGTACCTCATAGAAGCCTTATAGAAGATACCCTAAACTCCCCACCTGTAGTGACTCCTACAGTAAAAACCTTAAACCCTATACACCCTAAACCCTAAACCCTAAACCCTAAACCCTAAATCCTAAACCCTCTAACCCGATCGGCAGAAGGGAGCAGCCCCCGGTTCGAGTCTCGCTTGGTACCGGCTCTTTGTTGCGCATTAGGTGCCCCGAAGGAAAGTCGGCTCCTGAACGACAAGTCTCGTATCCACCAAGGCATATTATAAAATTGCCTATATGAATGTGTGTGTATACATATATATATATATATATACATATGTACATATTAGATGTACATATACATACCCGGACAGGTATACACACATATCATATCATATCATATCATATCATATCATATCATATCATATCATATCATATCATATCATATCATATCATATCATATCATATCATATCATATCATATCATTTATATATATATATATAAGCGTATGTATATATATATATATATATATATATATACCGGTGTGTGTGTGTACTAGTCCCGTGTACTACCCTGAACCCTGACCCTTAAAAGAACCTTAAAAGGGGCCCCTTAAATGACAAGTATTTTCCAAGTCGATTCCGGCGGTAGGGCTTATGGGTTTTTGGATTTAGGCTTTGGGGTTCGCGGGTTAGGGTCTAAGGTTCTTGCTTTGGTGTGTGTTTTTATCAGTGTCCGCATGTGCACGTTTGTTTGTGCGAGTGTTTCAGGCTTCAGGTGGGTTAAGTGCGTGAAGCCCTAAACCCAAACCCTTTTAGTGTGTGGATGACACGAAGCGATCGCCCAGGCAAAAGAAAGCCTTTGGCAAACGCATCAGGATCAGAATGCTGCTGAGCTGCATGTTTAGGGCGTGGTTTAGGGTTTAGGGCATGCTACAAATTCCGAAACTGTCTAGGAGTCTAGAAATAAGTATGGCCTATGCAACCCGCAACCTAGACACAGGAGGTGACTGCCAAACCCTGTTGCGATTTTGTGCTGCTTGTGGGTGGGTACTGTAGGCTTCCTGGGGTTCGCAATCCTCTTAACTTTAGGGTTTAGGGTTTAACCCTAAGCCAAAGATGTAAGCTTTCCAAGCTGGCTTCTGTCACCCGAAACTGCGAATCCTCAGCCTCAGGCCCTAAACTTGAAGACCCTAATGCCCCAAACCCTAAAGCCTTGCTGTGATTTCTAGTCTCACCCAGCTGACTCGTCGTTATCGCATGCCTCGCCTGGATTGTGCGAGTGTGAACACTGAGACCCTTAAGCCCTAAAACCCTAAACCGTAAAACCTTAAACCCTAAATCGCTAAACCCTAAACCCTAAACCCCTAAATCCCTAAATCCCTAAGCCCTAAACCCTAAACCCTAAACTCTAAACCCTAACCCTGAACCCATAAAGCCTTTACAGCCTTACCAGGAACCTCTAGCACCCACTCTTCGACCCTAACGCTAAACCTTAAAAAAACCCAGCCGATCCCTTCCAGTTCCCTTCCCCTTACAAGAGCCCTCAACACGCACTCCTCAACTCGAGCCACAGTTTAGGGTTTAGGGCAGACCCTCAACCCCAGAACAACCCTTCAAGGAGCCGCACCCCTACTCTTCGAAATCCTTCTGTGCCCCTAAGCCCTATAGCCATGCCTGCTTTTGCGAGGTGGTGAGTCGAAGAGCTATACCCCTCAACCCTAAACCCTAGTTGTGAGAGCGCAAACCCGAAACCCCTCACCCCTAAACCCTAAACCCCTAAACCCCTCACCCCTAAACCCCGAAACCCCTCACCCCTAGACGCTTCCCTATGCTTCGAGGTCCTCCTATGCTCTCTCTTCGACCTGCTTTGGGAAGTCTTGGGAGCTGAGAAGGTCCTGCGTCGAGATGTCGAGGAGGCTGCTCGGCACAGGTTGAGGTTGTAGGGTTCGGGGCCCCTAAGCCCTAAACCCTAAACCCTATAGGGTTTAGGGGTTTAGGGTTTAGGGTTTATAAACCCTACACCCCTAAACCCTAAACCCTAAACCCGAAGCCCTAAACCTAAACCCTAAACCCTAAACTGGGTCCCAAAAACATGAGATCCTTGAGGTCTCCCACGTAAGGGTCTATATAGGGGTGCTTCAAGGGCTCCTTCGAGGGATTTTTGGGGCGATAGGGCTAGGGGGTCCCTTACGGGCTCCTTTAAGGGATCTCTAGCGGGGTCCTTGGAGGGTTTAGGGTTTATGGTGGGTCCTGTCAGGGAGAGGTCCTTTCAGGGAGACATGAGTTTTTCTGAATTAGGTGTCTTTTTGTGTCAGGCTTCTTAAAGGGGTTTAGGCTTTAGGGCTTGTTTTGCTTCTTGGGTTTTTGTAGGGGTTAAGTTAAGACTTGCTCAAGTGTGCTTTTAGGGAGTTCTTTCAAGGGGTGTATAGTGACTATTGGAGTCATTGAGGGCTGACGTGAACCCCCTCCTTTTTGCGGATTACTACAGACGCGATTTGTTCGTGCGCGCAAGAACTCGCAACGGCCGGCACAAGAGCGTGCAAGGGCAATGTCATTGCAGGTTATACCTACACCCTAAACCCCGAACCCTTCTAGATCAGTAGGTTTTTGCGCACGGCTGAGTGCTGGCCTTTTTGGACGACCGAATCGAATGCCAAGGCCTGCAACCTAAAGCCCAAACCTACTTTACCTGGACTTTCCCAAGTCCTCGCTACTCAGACTCTACCCACTATATCCCGAAGACCGAACAAGGACCAGTGACCAAGACATGCAGTATGTATGCCTTGGGGTTCCGTAAACCTGAACGCCTATAACAGCCCTATAGTTTTAATGTGTTGTTACTAGGTTGCTGTGTTTGGCGATGTAGATTATCATTCATGTTCGTGCGTTGTGCAGACGCAGCCAAGGAAGAGGGACCCGAATCTCAGTCTGCAAAAAGAGCTTCAAGGGTAGAAGGATTGGCTGGTTTAGGGTTTGGGAAGTGGGGCCGCAGAAAACCCATCAGAGCCGCCCTGAGCCCTAAGTACAACCGTAAGCACGACCCTGAACCCTGGGATGGTCCAGCAGACAGCCCTACGCACTGATCCTCGTATACCTTGAAGCCTGAGCTGTAATCCTACACGTTCAGTCTTGAATCTTAGTACCCTAGCCCATCAAACCAGCAGGGAAAGCCCATCGACTAGAGGCCATCTAACCCGAAATCTCCAACAAAAAACCCAAACCCTAGAACCTCAACAACCCGAAAACATAGCTCAGCGCCTAACATTTCAGAGGCAGACAGGCCGTCTCCTCATGGATCTGCGTTTCGGGTTCAGGGGTTTGGGGTCTGTGGGTTGTTCTGTTAGGGCCGACCATTGCGCGGCTTTCGGATGTCGCCGGTGTTGCATGGCTTTGTTTGCATAAGTCTTCGGTGCCAGCGTGCCCGATACGCCTCGGAAAGAAAATTCCCCGAAATAAGAATGGGATGCCTGGGATGCTTGTATAATTTTACGGAGAAGTCCTTGAGTGGTCCAGAGTAAGCGGCATGGGAGTTTCTCGGTGTCCATGAGAATTTCGAAGCATCGGGTTCGAATCCACAGGAGATTCCAATGATGCGCCGGCTCCCGTTCCCCATGGCGATCAGCACTGCCTTTGAGAACCTTGGGCGGCCAGGAATCTCGAAACCCTAAACCCCAGTTCCTAAACCCTAATCCCTCAACCCTAATCCCTAAACCCTATAATCCCTAATCCCTATGACGTATGATCCGCAGGAGAAGCTTGATGGCTGATCGCGAGAATGACCTCTGCTTCAGCTGCAGGGTTGACATGGTTTCTGCTCAAGAATATAGACCCTGTGGCGTTGAAGCCACATGCACGCAAGTACGACCAATGCAGTAAACAACATGTAATGCGTTCTTAGTTAATTGGCATATATGCACTCTAGCTACCCATCTCCTTTGTTGAAATTATTGAAATATTGCTCGTCGTATAGATGGTGCCAAGTGACCCCGGCTGTTTAGGTGTTTCTTTTTGTGGAACATGTAGAGCTGCAGCCGAGGATGTTGCAGGGAAAGATGAGCCTGAAAGACTATGGCAAGGCAAGGCAGTGCTTGCTTCTAGGAGCGACAGCTTATGTGAAACCGCAGCACTGCATCAGCATGCCTCAATGCCTCGAGCAGCATCTATCCACACAGGATGAAATAGAGGGTGCATGTGCCTGCAAAGGCAAACATCATTTCCAACACAAGCATTATGATCATAAACCCTAAACCCTAAACCCTAAACCCTAAACCGTGAGAACAGCAGTCGGAAGTCTCACAGTCACTCAGGACGAAGATGGTCATGCACTGCCACTCAACGACCAATGCAATGGTGTTCAGTCATGGCACAATTATCTTCTCCGATGCATGAGGAACTGTGCCGTGAACACCCCAGATGTAGGATAGGAACAGCCAAAGTCTTTAGCACGAACTGTGATGTAGGAGTTGAATATACCATTGACGAAAAGAAAGAACACTATACAGTAGTTCCTGATGTAGGCCCCCGACTGACAAACTCCTTTCGCCACGGGCCCCTAGGCCCTACCACTTGGTTCTTTGCTGTAAAACTGTCACACCCTAAACCCCTAAACACTCTATAAAAGTCTATGACCCCGAAACCCCTGCAGACCCAATAGCATCCTCAAAGCAATGGTGTGCATTCAGGCACCTACACCCTTATCTACAAAGGGGTTAGGGTTTCTGAAAGGATTCGTAGGGGATTAGGACTCTAAGGGTCAAGGGACTTGGTGAGTATAGGCTCAGAATTCTGGGAACTATGGTTACAGTTATAGCTATCTATGTGTGTATATATATATACACATAAATACTTAAATCTATAAATATGAATATATGTTTACTTATTTATTTATCAGCTCAACAAGGTAAACTGAACAAAACTTACCAAGCCCTTGATGCTTTCAGCATAGTACGCTAAGCCCCACATTCCAACGTCTGAAGTCTAAGCCCTAAACTCGCCAGCAGGCCACCCCAAGCTGGTTCTCAGGGCTCGGATGCAGCCCACCCCACAACCCTGAACCCTAAAGCCCTAAACCGTGACACTCGGGAGCCGTGAAGCCCGAAAGCCTGAATCCATTGTAGCCCAGCTCGCCCCGTTAAGCCTACACCCTCACAAAATCCTAAAACCTTACTAAACCCTGAACCCTGAACCCTAAAACCTTGCGACACGCTAAATCCTAAACCCTAAACCCTAAACCCTAAAACCGTACAGCGGCCCTAAACCCTGGCACCTCTGACCAAAGTCTGGGTCCTTGCCGGCTACAGTTTTACATTTCCTTTATAATAAAACCCAATTAACAAACTAGAAATGATCATTATGCCCTAAACCCTAAACCCTAAACCCTAAACCCTAAACCCATTATGTTTAATATAGCCCCAACAAAGAACCAGAAGTCCCCAAACCCTAAACCCTCCATCCCAAGTCCAGGCGGCCAAGACCTGGGCCTTCCTGTACTCCCTCTTCACCTGCCGCTGGTTTTTTGAGAGGCTTTCGGTTTCAGGGAGGTTGGGTTGAAGGGGTTTTAGGGTCTAGGGTTTGGGGTTTATATGATGCTTGCTTCGGACGTCCGGCCCCAGCCCGTGACTCAAAAAGGGTTTGGGGTTTAGGATTTAGGGTTTAGGGTTTGGGGTCTAGGGTTCAGGGATTAGAGTTTAGGGTCTTGGGGTGCGGATGGGAGTTGGGGCTTTAGGGGTTTAGGGTTTAGGATTTAGGGTCTAGGGTTGAGGGCGGGAGTGGGGGTTTTAGGGTTTAGGGTTTAGGGTCAAGCTGGGCAGTAAGGGCAGCAGCAGAGTCCCTTGTGAAAAAGGGTTTAGGGTCCCGACTTCGCAGCTGATGATCAGAGCCTGGGTTCAAAGGGGTTTAGGGTCTAGGGTTGAGGGGGCTTTAGGGGTTTAGGGTCTAGGGTTTACGGTTTAGGGTCTAGGGTTGAGGGTGGGAGTTGGGGCTTTAGGGGTTTATAGGGGCTCCTGGCTTGCGAAGGCTAACGATTCTCTTCTTGACATCTCGATTCACTTCTTTTGCGTACGGGTTCACCCATGGTAATGTATTTTTTGAAATGGCTGTTGCCTAAGGGCCTAGCGGGATACAGTAGAAGCCGAAAAGTTGGAAACCCACTAGCCTCAGGACCCAATCCTTACTAGTAACGTATAGGAAATCCCAGCACTCATTGTCCTCAATCCGGTTTCCAACTTTGCAGGGTCTACTCTAAACGCCCCAAACACCCTAAACCAAACAACCCTACAGCCCTAACCTAGGTGGCAACTTGGGAAGCTTTAAGGTTTCCCTTATGGTTTCTAAAGAGGTACCTATTCAGAAATGCTTTTCAGGGCCCCCGAACTACAACCCAGTAAAAAGTTGCTGTTCAGAGTGTTGAATGTAGGGGCTTAAATTATTTCCTATATCATTTTGTGGGGGTTCCTTATTATGATTCGAGCATAATATGCCCCAAACCCTATTCTGAGTAGTAAGGCCCCCATACCCTATACCCTAAACCCTAAACCAAAAACCCTATTCAAATTATCCTAAACCCCTAAACCCTAAACCCAAAACCCTATTCTAATTATCCTAAACGCCTACACCCTAAACCAAAAACCCTAG